CCTGGAGTCCATTCTGACCCACAGCGCCCCTAGAGGACAGAGTGGAACTGCCCACAGGGTCTCCAAGGCTGTCAAGTCTTCACAGAAGCTGGCTGCCTCGTCTCTCTCCCATGGAGCTGCTGGTAGGTTTGAACTGCCCACCTTTTGCTCAGTAATTAGGCACTTAACCATGGAACTACCAAGGCTCCGGTCCTTAGTCTCTTCCTTCCGTGTCTGTGTTGTGCTGCTTTACCAGCTGCTGTCAAGGTGATTCTGAGTAACTCATGACACTGCCCTGCGTGCACCCTGGGGGGTAAATGGTGACTGGGCTCAGCTGCTGACTGCAAGGCTGGAAGCTCAAATCCACCCCCTGCGTGCACCCTGGAGGCTCAGCTGCTGAGTGAGAGGTTAGACATTCAAATCCACCCACAGGCGCCTGGGGACAGAGGCCTGGTGATCTGCTCCCGACGTCGGCCACTAGACCCCGTGGGGCCCAGTTCTGCTCTGACATCTCGGGGGTGCTGTGTTCTGATTGGGTCCTGACATTTCTCTGGAATGGAGCCGCAGAGGTGAAACGACTTGATCAAAACCATGAACACTTTAGGGCCACACTGCCTTCTAGAAGCCCTGTGGGCACTGGGCAGCGGGAGCCCAGGCGGGGACCGTGGTCAGTGCCCGACAAGGACCCCTATGTTTGGAAGCTGGGGTTCTGAGGACATGTCCCCAGGTTCACACATGGCAGAAGGGTGGAGGAACCGTGTGTGCCGGGGGAGGCTCTGATGAGCTGGGCTCGCCTGGCCCAGAAAAAGCCTGTGTCCAATCAAGAATCTGGATCGAGAAGGGTGTGGGGCCACTATGAGATGGCGTTGCCCGCGTCACGGCGTCCCAGCGCTCAAGCCCCCAGCCCCCACGCACCACGATGGCCCCAGGGCTGGCCCTTCGTGGCCAGCACAGAAAGCCGCTGCCCTGCCTCAGGTGACACTAAGTGACAGCCGGTGCGTCCCACGAGCTCCGAGGATGTGGGGCGTGCAGCCCGGTCCTCTCACGGCACTGCTTTTGGGTCTTACCTTCTCCTTCCTGGAGGGCTTTCTGGTCGCCCACGGCTTCGGGCACCAGCTTCCCATAGGAGTGCTTGTCACTGGAGGCAAACTTCACCGTGTCGAAGTAGACTGAGCCGTTGGAGGCATAGCTGGGCACAGACAGATAGTGGGGAGGTTTAAGTAGACAGAGACAGCCCTGGGGGTGAAAACGCGTTATCTCAGCGCCTTAGAGCTGTTGTGACAGAACTCCGCAGTGAACATCTACCGTCTCTAGTCAGGAGGCTACAAGTCCGAGCTGCCCTCTCTGTTGGCTCTAGGGACAGTCCTGTCTCCTTCGGTTTGGGAGTCCTGTGTCTGAAGGAGACAGGACCAGAGTGAAACTAGAGCAGAAATAACAAGATTGCTGACGGACTGTCGAGAAGGTACTAACAAAAAACAAACCAAACTCACTGCCGTAGAGTCAGTTCTGACGCACCACACCCCTAGAGGGCATGGTGGAACCACCCACAGGGTTTCTAGGCTGTCGGTCGTTACGGAAGTTAACTGCCACACCTTTGTCCCATGCAGCAGCTGCTGGGCTTGAACCACTGATCTTTCCGTTAAGAGCAGAGCGTCCAACCACTGCGCCACCAGGGCCCCTTTAACCGTCACCAATGGCCACATCTAGAAACTGTGCAATGTGAGTGGGAGAACCTGAGCCTATTTCCACCACAGATAACATTAATGGTGAAAAAGAAGGTGAAAAACCAAGAGAGCTTTATTCACAGGGCAGCCCCGAGTCACGGCAGCCTAGCGGAGGCCACAGACGAAGAGGGAAGGCCCGCGAGGGTGGACAGGAGGTGTGTGGTTAAGCACCCACAGAACCACAGCCCCGGCTCCCTGGAATCCTGACAGGGACCCTCTGTGTGTGAATGTGAGGCGTGTGGCTGAGCACCAATGGACCCGCTGCCCTGCGCCCACAGACTCCTGAGTGGGACCCTCTGGGGGTGAATGTGAGGCGTGTGGCTGACCACCAACAGACCTGCTTCCCCTGTTACCCTGGAATCCTGACTGGGACCCTCTGGGTGTGAATGTTAGGTGTTTGCCTGATCACCAACAGACCCGCTGCCCCTGTGCCCACAGAATCCTGACTGGGACCCTTTGTGGGTGAACATGAGGTGTCTGGCTGACCACCAATGGACCTGCTGCCCCTACTCTCACAGAATCCTGAGTGGGACCCTCTGGGGGTGAATATGAGGCGTGTGGCTGACCACCAACGGACCTGCTGCCCCTGTTACCCTGGAATCCTGCCTGGGACCCTCTGGGGGTGAGTGTGAGGCATCTGGCTGGTCACCAATGGACCCGCTGGCCCTGCGCCCACAGAATCCTAAGTGGGACGTGGAGACCTCCCTCACAAGATCTTGGTAGGAAGGTGGCCACATGCTTACCCATAACCATTGTCCACAATCCTTTGCACGAAGTTCACGATCTCGGGGACGTATTCACTGACACGTGTTAAAACATCTGGAGGGAGGACCTGTGGGTACGAGAACGAGGAATTCCCCTCTGAAAACGTCTCCTCTTGACAAACACCCCCCATGGAAATCCACCTCCAGCTTGTACAACAAGGAGCCCTTGGCCTTCGGCTCAAGTTCAATTGGTTTGACCACGTTGTTTAGCTTGAGGTGTGGGCCACACAGGGATGCAGGCCAGCCCACGGACACACTCACGTTCAGAGCTGCCATGTCTCTGTGGAATGCCTCCTCCCAGAACTTGGGCAGCGAGGAGAAGATGGAGTTGTCTGTCACCTCACTGCCAAACCTGGAGTCCAGCCACTCAGAAAGCAGGTCTCTGGCTTCCTCCAGTAACACCTGGTGGCAGAGACAGGGAGATGGGGACACCATGGCTGGCAGGCACCAGGGGATGGGGCCGTCGTGGCCGGCAGGCAGGGGGGACGGGGACGCAGGTGCTGCTTCCCATGACCGATACCCAGTGCAGGCTGAGTTCAAAGGCATGCAGCCACCAGCCTCAGGCCTCAGAAGAGCTCTCTTCTCATGAGGTCAGTGACAACCAAGTGAGAGGTCAACTTTGAGAGACAAACACAGACCCACAGGTGGGCTCTGCCAGCAAGTGACAGAAAAGTGACCAGTGGGACCGTACGTCCAGAGGCATGGAGGTTTGGGGGTTCACACTCCTATGGACTGGGGGTCAGCAGGGCTTTGCAGGGGAAGAAGTGCAGGAGTGTGGGCAGGAATGTTCACATGTGATCAGCGGCAGTGCAGATTCCCAAGGGGAATGGGCCACAGTCCCGAGCGACTGGCTAAGACCAGTCACAAAGGAGGCCCTGTGTGCTGCAGCCCCGGCAGCAGGCGGCCCCTGGTGATGCCGGTGGCACTGAGACAGCAGTGACAAGAAGCGCTGCCGCTCCACCTGAAAACCAAAGTTGGAGAGGACGCTTTACGAGGAGCCAGAGAGAAGAGACATCTGCCTGCAAAGAACGGCAATTCTGAGTGCAGCAGGCTTCTCAAGGCAGCAACCAACAGTGGGGCGAGAAGGCAGAGGGATCGGATCGTCAGGGTGCTGGAAAGACAGCCGTCCAGCTTAACTGTGTCCCCGGCAAAACCTGCTTCAAAAATAAGGGTGAGAGCTCACCTGGGACACAAAAGACCTATACAAAGAAAACTACAGAACACTACTACAAGAAACTGTAAGAGATCTACATAAATAGAAGAACATACCACGCTCACGGACAAGAAGACGGAACACTGTGGAACTGTCAGTACTACCCAGGGCAGTCTATACAGTGAATGGAATCCTGGTCCAGATTCCATTACCATTCTTTACAGACATGGAAAAAAACAACCACTAATTTTATGAGGAGAGGAAAGAGACCTTGGATAAGCAAAGCACTATTGAAGAAGAACAAAGGAGGAGGTCTCACACTCTGGGATCTCAAAACCTATTCTACAGCCACAGTAGTCAAAACAGCCTGGTATTGGTACAATGACAGACACATAGACCAGTAGAACAGAATTGAGAACCCAGAAATAGATCCATCTGCCTACAGTCAGCTGATTTTTGACAAGGTTGAAATCCATTAAATGGAGAAAAGACAATCTCTATAACAAATGGTGTTGGCAAAATGGCATATCCATTTGCAGAAAAATGAAACAAGATCCATACTTCACACCATAGACAAAAACAAACTCAAGGTGGATCAAAGATCTAAACGTAAAACCCAAGACTATAAAGTTCATCAAACATAAGATAGAAGAAAACATGTTGTTGTTACGTGCTGTTGAATTGTCTCTGACTCGTAGCGACACCCCTCCTTGGGTTTCCAAGGTAGTATCTCTATGGAAGTAGATTGGCCAACCTTCCTTCCAAGGAGTAGCTGGTGGGTTTGAACTGCCAACCTTCTGGTTAGCACTCAAGTGCCTTAGGCACTATGCCACCAGAGCTCTTAGTAACAAACATAGGGGCCCTGATTTATGGCATAAATATACTCTCAAGCATAACCCAAAATGCACAAACAGCAGAAGCTAAACTAGATGACTGGGACCTTCTAAAAATTAAATTCTATACACATCAAAAGTCTTCTCCAAAAGAGTTAAAAAGAGAATCTACAGACTGGGGAAAAATATTTGGCAATGACATATCTGACAAGAGACTTATCTCTAGAATTTATAGAAAACTCCAACACCTCAGCATCAGAAAGACAAATAATCCACTTTAAAAATGGGCGGAAGTCATGAACAGACACTTCACCAAGGAAGATATTCAGGCGGCCAACAACACATGAAGAAATGCTTACTATAATCAGCCATCAGAGAGATGCAAATGAGAACAATGAGATACTATCTCACCCCAGCACTAACAGCAAAGGTCAACAGGACAGAAAACAACAAATGCTGGCAGGGATGCAGAGAGACTGGGACCCTTGTACACTGCTGGTACGACTGTCAAATGGTACAATCACTGTGGAAAGCAGTATGGTGATTCCTTAAAAAGCTAGGATTAGAAATACCATTTGACCCAGCAATTCCATTACTAGGTATATATCCTAAAGAGGTGAGATATGGGACACAAATAGAGACATGCACACCCATATTCATTGCACCAAAAAAAAAAAAACCTCACTGCCATTGACTCAGATCTGACTCACTTGCCTCCTTGGGTTTGCCAGGCAGTATCACTACCGAAGTAGATTAGTAATGTTTCCTCCGAGGAGTGCTGGTGGGTTTGAACCGCCAGC